CCAATTGTAAATTTTATAATGTATTAAAAATATATATCATTAAAAAAATAAAATAAAAAATCTTATTTTTTTAACGAAGGACCGGTTGCTCATTGGCTTTGTGGGTAGACTGGAGTCACCGCATCTGAACTTCCATGACCATCGGGGAATTTTTGTTCCTCATTGGATTTGAACTTGAGACATCCAGACATTTTTGACATTTGGAAACCAAGCTTAAACCAATCTCACACCACCCTTGTTGTTAAGATTCCTATTTTTATTACCAAGGTTAAAATTTGTCTTTCAGTTAATTAAAAGTGTAATAATTAAATATTTCTAAAACGTCAAGGATCATGTAAGAATAGAAGTTAAGACGAGAAACATAAGAAGAGATATGAACCTTTGATCACTTTTAATCCCACCCCTACGAGGATTAATCAGGTGCATCTCGATGCTTTTCATTACTGTTGATCTTTAATTATAATTGATTCAAGAATGAAGATCATTTATTATCTTTCTCAACATAATTTTCATTCTCATTGGAAGGTTGAAATCCAGCCCTTCTAAAAAGACAAATTACATGAAAAAGTAACGTATTTTAACTTGAACTTATTTTAGATAATTATTTTTAAAACTTTCATTTTGGTACCTAAAATAAAAAGTTTTAAACATTTAAGTACCCGGATAACTGGTTGAAGACTAATTTTAGATTAAAAAAATTCATGTCACTAACCACGTCAGCAAACAATACCGAGTTGGATACCACATCACTCGCTATATCAGCATGATAACCGTTTAATGCTTCAACAAGTTACCTGGATACTTAAATGTTTAAAACTTTACATCTTAAATATCAAAATAAAAGTTTTAAAAGCATGCAATTTATGCTTTTTAAAACTGTATTTGATTATTTATTCTAAGAGAAATATTATATGATATTATTTGAGAATATCTGATTTGGAATGACAGTCATGGATTTAGGAAAGGGGAGAGCATCCTCCCCGAAATTTTCCTTATAAATCGGATTGAGCAAAAAAAAAAAAAAAAAAAAAAAAAAAAAAAGTAAAAGCAAAAAAGCTTTTTCTTTTTTCTCTGAGAAATTTGTGTGAGAGCACCACCAGATTTGATCACGAACAGAGCTGTCCCTGTTGCCTACGACAGTTTTCACTTCAATTTTCCCATTGATTTCCATCGCCAAATTCGATTTGTGCAGTATTAAGAGGCCACAGAGACCAACTAATCCGATCATCATCATCATCATCATCGGAAAAACCTTTTTGAGACCACAGGGAAAACACCCGTAAACCCTAGCTTTAACAATGTGCTTTGATCTAATTTCTTCTTGTGTTTTCTTGTACAAAATTTACTGTACATAACACTAGCTAATTATCTGATCGGTGGCGATGATCAGTGCGTCCAACCCTAATTCAATGATGTCTTCGTCGTCAACAACAGGCACCAACAACGCTGCCGGCAGCGGCGGACAACAAGCACCGGGTTTGAAGACGTATTTCAAGACTCCAGAAGGAAGGTATAAACTCAAGTATGAGAAAACTCATCCCGCTGGTCTCCTTCACTACGCCCATGGCAAGTCTGTTACTCAGGTAATGTTTTAGGGTTCTTGAATTGACCCTAATTGTGATAAATATCTTCTTTTTGTCAATTGTACTTTATCTAAATTCACTGTTGGGGAATGTTGGATGGAGCTTAAAATTGATGAGTTTTTGGATTGTTTATGTATGTGATTTGGTGACGATTTAGATGATCAACTTCATTCCATACATAGATTCTTATTAGTTCATATCCACTCCAAAAAGAAAAGAAACAAGAATTGCTGTTTGACTTTGGAAAATCTTAAGGGTTATTTTTCAACTTCGAAGTCATGGATTCTAATAAATAAAGGAAGTATTATGATTTGAATAATGTTGATGGTGTATCAGCAACAAAATCAATATCAACTATTTACATGGAAAGTATTAGTTTTTCAATGGTACTGGGGTAAAGATAGATGGGTGTAGTTGAAAGTACTAGGTTTTATGTCAAAAATCAAAATCTATGTGAGCGAGTAATTAATTATAAAGCTAATAGATCATGCTCGAAGTTTGAGTTTCAATGAGTTCATTTCAATAATGCAATTTTTTATCTGTTTGATGATGAATGCACAAAGTAGTTATAATGGAATAGCATTATTTATGTTTAGACTGTTGGTTTCTAAATGAGATTGATTCGTTGGTTCAGTTGCATTAGTTCAGTAAAACACGTGGCACTTGACTTGGCAGAATTATCTATTATCGCTGTTAGGGAAAATACAGGAAGAGTGAAAACAATGGATGAATCTGTTCGAGTTATTGTCCCCATGATATTGTAACTAGTTAAGATGATTGGATTTGAGGGTCGAGTCTAGGTGCATTTAGGGGTTGGCAAAGGAGTTGGTTAGAGAAAATAAAGGAGACACTAAAGTATACATACTTGGTAGTGAATAAGGTGGTACAAAAGGCCAAAGGATGATGAAATTGCCAAGGATGTTAGTGAAGTACTTGTTATCTCAAGTTCAATATTAGTGGTTATGGCGGGAAGCAAGATGCAATTAGCATATCCAGGCAGCAGCATATTTGGGTCCATAAATGACTATTTCCCTACAAAGACTAGTGTTTGCTACAACAACTGGTGGATTCTCTTAACCAAGTCATTGCCCATGAGTTGCCAACTTGTAGTCTTCAACATGCATGCAATCATGAGATATTCTTGTGATTTAGGCTCAATTTTTGCAGTAGGATGATGAATTTACTATGGATGTTAGTTGTAGAACAAGAGCATGGTGGAGGAGATGACTAGAAGCTTCTGGAGTAACAAGTTTCGTTGAAGCTGAAATGTAAAGACATGTTACGATAATGGGATTGGGATACAAACAGACAATATGTACCCAAGATGCTAGCAGAAATGCTAGTTTTGAGATGGATTTTGTTCTGTAATCTATTTGAGCCTTTACTGCCAGCCTGGACCCCCTTTTTAGTTTTAATATACGGGAACTGCTACCGTCATATTACTCTCTTTAGCAAGGGACCCTTAACCTCTGATTGGTTTGTCATGGGGGAAGCAGTGAAGATAGTTTTCTATTAGTGGAGTATATTTGATAGGATCATAGTAATGCATGACACACCATTCATCTCCCATAACCTAGGGGTCTTGCCTCTTATTTTTTTCCTTCTGCTTTCACTACTTCATAATTTATTTTGGTTTTGTTTTTTAGCCTACCCAGACCCAGCTAGTTTGGGATAAGATGCTTGTCGGTGGTGGTGACTGATGGTAGTTTTTTCAGTTTTATTTTTGCTCTCTCTAGCTCTCCCCGCAAGTTTTGTACTTTACTACTTTATTGTCCATTTGCCAGGGGCAATTTTTATGAACTTTTTAATCAGAAAATATGATTTCATAGGTATGATCTAATAAGATCATGTGAGTAAGGACAGGATACCTATAACAGTATATCAGAGATGAACAGCTGGACAGGAGGGGTGGAAACTAGTTTTTTGGACTTTTGGTGTCACTTTCACAGATTAAATATAAATCCATCCAATTGAACTAAAATTTAATTTTGACTAAAAGATTCATTGAAACAAGTCTTTTACCATGATCCATTTCAAGTTCGCCTCCATTACATTAACTATTAAGAAATAAAATGGCATTCTGGATTGCAAAACGTAAAATGCTTGTGTCAACTAGAACATGAAAATCAGCATGTTTTTATTTCAAAATCAACAATATATTAATGTTTTTGGGACAAGGAATAAATGATCTTTGGACAACATATCTTGGCCATTCTCTTTTGTAAACAAAACAATTGGGTTCTAAGTTCTTATTTCACAAATATAACGTGACTTCGATTCTTGTTTTATCTTAAAGACTAAAAAATCCATGTTATCATGCGGCAGCAAAGACTGCACTTAGGTCCCCCCTTGGCTGCGGACTTAGTCTTCCTCCTTTCCTATCCTTGCACAAATTTAAATATGAAAGTTTTATTTCTCAGTTGGATATCTAGGATGTCAAATAAGTTCTAAACTGCTTGTCGTAAGTTTCTTTATTTTAACTTGCATGAAACTTGAATTTTGTTCATGATATGATTGCCAGGTCACTCTAGCTCATCTTAAGGATAAACCTGTGCATGCTCTGTCGTCATCTTCTTCAAGTGTAGGCGTTGGTAGCGGCGTAAGATCAGCTGCAGCGAAGTTCTTAGGTGGTGGCAATGGGAGTAGAGCACTTAGTTTTGTTGGAGGGAATGGTGGGAGCAAGTCTTCGAGTGGGATAACTAAAGTCGGATCATTGGGTACTTCATATACTAATAATTATACACCAAACTCGAACTTTGATGGGAAGGGAACTTACTTGATATTCAACGTTGGGGATGCAATTTTCATTAGTGATTTGAATTCTCAGGATAAGGTACTATTCTTCAACATGGTTGCAACCTGCCATTTGTGTTTTTCTTTTGGGTACATACAAATGAATTTCATTAGTTAAGTGAAATTGGATTGTAAGAGGCTCTAATGTCCTATGCAGGATCCTATAAAGTCTATACATTTTAGTACGTCAAATCCCATTTCCCATGCTTTTGATCCAGATGCTAAAGATGGACATGATTTGCTCATTGGGTTGAATTGTGGAGATGGTATTCTTTTTCTTCAAAAGAAAATTATAATAACTGGCGTCAGTTTTTGTTATATGTTACATGTGTTGTGAATTTTGTAGTTTATTCAGTATCATTAAGACAACAATTACAAGATGGTGGGAAAAAGCTTGTTGGAGGCCAGCATTATAACAAAGATGGCTGTGTCAATAACAGGCAAGTCATGAACTTAATTCTCTGGAGTTCTATGTGTAGCTAAAATCTCAGTCTTCTCTACACTTTCCATTGAAATGTGCCATTTCATATACCCAAATGTATTTTTTTTCCCTGTAAGCATCCAGCTGCTTAGTTACTTTCCTGAGTGCATGATGTACGTTAAATACAGTTTTTTTCTAATTTCTTCTTGACATGCAAAATATTGTAATTGAACCTCAGTGTTTTGTGTTGGCTTCAATAGCTTACAACATACTAGCCTCCCTTTGTAAATGTCATGTTGTGATATTTTATATGCGGCATATTTTGCTATGCTTGTTAGTTGATAAAGTTAAAGCATCTATAATTGGATTCAGTTTAATATATATTTCCTCCACGCAAAAAGGTGCTGACTTCCATATACTGCTGATAGGCTTCGGAATTATTAGCATCAAGCTGTGATAATTAATAAAGATCGAATATTGGTACCTGTTTGATACATTATAAATGTACCAATTGTGGCAGATAATTTTCTCCATCATTTAATGTGTGATCCCTTACTAATGATTATCTGCTTCTCCTTTGTAGCTCAGTATATTCAGTATTGTGACATAAATCTTACTGTTCTGTGGGTTCAAACGGAAATATATAGATTTAGAATTGCAAAAAAAGTGATACAATTGAAATTCGATGCATAGCAGCGAGGGGCAGAAGTTGATGCTATAATGCCTGGTTCATATTGAATCATACTACTAAGTTGAGATTCACTTTCACCTTAGAGATCAAATGAAAATGACTAAAAGCCTTTGAGTTTTGCAGTCAAAATGGCGCAGGGTTGCAATTTCAAGAGTGTAAATCCATAAAAGAGACAAACTTGTGGACTAAGAGGAGAAACTAGGTATCACGTATACAGTAACGCTTGAGGATCTGAATAAAAACTCTCATCTGAAAAGTCGCAATAAAGTATGCCCTTACATAGAGCCAATCACCAAATATTTCGAAAGAAGCGTGGGAAACAAAGATTGAAACTTTAAGTAGCTAAAACAATTAAGTAATCTTTAATTTAACATATACTCGGACATAAAGACTTATGCAAAACTTATTATCTCTACCAGGTTCAGTATCAGATTTTGAATAGAATGAAGTGTAATCAACAAATTAAAGATGGTAGTGGATTACTTTTATGAAACTGAGTTAATATTGGCACTTGTTTTCTACAAGCAATGTGATATTGTTTTGCTGCCATTAAATGCTAGTGGATTATATTTATTACTCCTTATGATATTAAAGGTATTTTGATGGTAGTCTGCTCTTTTACATTATCTGATCAAATAGCCTTCTTGCTTTCAACAGTCGTTGTACTAGTATTGCATGGGTCCCTAATGGTGATGGAACTTTCGTTGTTGCACATGCAGATGGAAATATGTATGTATATGAAAAGGCAAGTCATAGAATAATCTGTCACTGTCTGCTATAACTTCTACACTAATTAATGTGGTGGCTGGTGGCAAGTTATTCATATATTTATTAATATTCCCGTATCTTCCAGAGCAAAGATGGTTCAGGCGATCCTTCATTCCCAATAATCAAGGATCAAAGTCAATTTTCTGTTTCGCACGCCCGCTACAGTAAGGTACCGATTGACATGCATTTGAATTTTCTATCTGGTTGTATTTAATGATGGTGAAATCTTGAGGCTAATATGAATGCTTAGGAAATTCAACACAGCTCTACGATTTAAAGTACAGATTGATCTTCAACTGTAAACAATTTGAGGGAAGGAGTTAGTTCTTTTTTCCTTTTTTTTTCTTTGTGGTGCTATAAATAAGTTGTTTATCAGTTAATAACACAATCAGATGGCCTGCACAATGATCATATCATCCTAAACCACAACTAGAAGCTGGTTTAAATCCATAATATGTGGATACATGAATCATGCCATTCTTGCACTTATTTGGCTTGTTTCTTATATACCCTTTTGATTCCAAGTCAATGAGGGTTTACACGATTTTTAAAGTTAAACCTTATTCTTTTTTGCAGAATCCAATTGCTAGATGGCATATATGCCAAGGTTCGATAAATAGTATTGCATTTTCAAGTGATGGAGCCTATATAGCAACTGTCGGAAGGGATGGTATATAATAACATCTTTTATTTTTTGCTGATACTCTTGTGTTATTTTTTATTCTTCTAAAGTACCAGCTGTTGAGTTCAATCATTGGTTGTAGGTTATCTACGAGTCTTTGACTTCAAAACTGAACAACTTATATGTGGAGGCAAAAGCTATTATGGTGCTTTATTATGTTGCACCTGGAGGTGAAAAGCTCCTTCCGTTGACTCTTAATTTTTTTAAACTCCTGATAAAAGATTATTGTTTCATTTCATCCCTTGTTTTGTTTACTTTTTATGGTTGAACAGATTCTCTAACATGGATAAATTTGTTTTATCTTCCTAATTAATGCCAATGCCTTCCTCTTTGTACAAAATTTCTTTATTTCCTGAATGATAAGTTTATTGGGTTCTTCTTTTATCTTTCCTCCTTGTGATTCTGTTACTAGCCCTTCTTAAAAAAACAAGTGTAATTGAACTATTGAAATGACAGCATGGATGGAAAATATATATTGACTGGAGGCGAAGATGACCTGGTTCAAGTTTGGAGTATGGAAGAACGGAAAATAGTAGCATGGGGTGAAGGACATAGCTCATGGGTAAGTGTTTTTCACTAATAATGAGCGATTCTTCTACTTTTTTGGTGGTCTTTCACCATTCCTGATATTCTAATGGGGTTACAGGTCAGTGGGGTCGCATTTGATTCATATTGGTCTGCCCCAAATACAGATGGCACTGCGGAAAATGTCGTATATCGATTTGGTTCTGTTGGTCAGGTAAACTAGAGGATGTTCTTATTGATCTTTCTATCGTGGATTTGAGTTCTAATGTTACTCGGATGCATCAGATATGCTTATACTTATTATTTCAAAATGAGTGCTTGACTTTGTGAACCATCCTGCTTGACGTTTTGCTCTAAACCATCCATTATTCTTACAGAATGGGAAAAAATGATTGTGTGGCAAAAATGTGCGTGTTTGGGCATAATATGGAGATGTAAATACAAAAAAGAAAGGTAGTACTGTTATCGACAGTTTCTGATGAAAATTGCTCATTCTTGCAAAGTTTTTATTTTACATTTTTGCAAGATGGTGGTTTTTTACGTTGTTTGCAAGAAAACGTCGAGTACTATGGTTCAACGAGTTAATAATTCTACATCAAATATCTCATGAGATGATTTTACGTATCCTATTCCCTCCATCCTAAAATAAGTGTCCACATTTCTATTTTAATTTGTCCTGAATAATGTCCACTTTCAAATGTAAGTAACTACTTCCCAACCCTACTTATTAAGGGTAAGGTTTAGCAAGTTGATTAGAAAGTGTAATACTAATAATTACACATTTCTAAAATTGTGCCTTTTTTCATCGTGGACATCTATTTTTGGACGGAGGGAGTATTAAAGTTGTCTTAGGTGTTGTTTGGTTGGTTTTCCATTAAGTTCCATATGGATAAAGCTATCTGTGTGAATTAATCTGTCTGTATAGATTGGAAATGGTTTTGTTGGGGAGGTTTTTTCATAGAAGAAAGGAGTGTGTTCTTTTAATTGGAAGGGGCAGGTTCAGAAGAAACTTTGCTTTCTGTATAAAGCTCCCCTTTAAAAGCTTACTGATTAAGCCACTTCCAAACAGTCATGTATAACTAACCGAATAAATTGTGAGTTCCATTAAGTTCATTAAGCTGCTAACAAACAGACCCTTGGTTAAGCTGCAACTAAATGCTCTCATCCAAAATAAGTGTTCACATTTTTGTTTTGATTTATCCCAAAATAAGAGTCCACTTGTCTACTTTCCAATTCTACCTTAATTATGAAACGAATAATTATTTACTCCCTTCATCATTATGGATAAAATTGTCATTTACTGGCTAATTGAGAAGTGTAATAATTACAAATTTCTAAAACTGTATGCATTTTTATGTGGATATTTATTTTGAGCGGGAGTATATGTTGCAATTGGATTGTGCTTACAGATTACATATGTGCAGGACACCCAAGTACTCTTGTGGGATCTTGAAATGGATGAACTCGTAGTGCCAATGCGTCGGGCTCATGGTGGGTCCCCAACAATGAGCACCGGGAGCCAGTCGGCTCATTGGGACACCGCATGCCCACTTGGTACTTTGCGACCTGCACCAAGCATGCGTGACGTTCCAAAGCTCTCTCCTTTAGTAGTTCATCGTGTCCACACTGAACCTCTCTCTGGTTTGATATTCACTCACGAGTCAGTGCTAACCGTATGTCGAGAAGGGCACATCAAGATCTGGGCAAGACCGAGTTCGTCAAACGAGGGTCAATCTACAACCTCCGACTCACTTTCAACCACAAGTTTGAAAGAGAAGCCATTGTTTTCAGGTAAAGTCGGTAGTATGAGTTACAGGCAATGAAATGATTCGAGTTTTTATGCAGTTTTTATGAAGCACACAGGGTTTAATAATAGCCTAACAACATCCGTCGTATGTCATGGGGGGATCGGTGGCTCAACGAGATTTAGGAAGAAAGCCCATTTTTTAAGAAAGGGTGAGACTTGAACCCACAACCTCTGGTTGACCTGATCTGTTGAAGGGGTTGTTGATAACATATGAAATAACTAATCTTTAATAATGGAAGTTAATCTTGTTTTCTTTGAAAAATCTAAGTTATATAGATGGAGGTTTGGTGGTTCCTTTGTAACTCTTCTTTTTCTTATGTTTTAAGTCAGAATTGAACTAACTGGTAACTTGCACTGCTTGTGTTATGCAAATCAAATACTCCATTTAGAGTTTATTACAACTTTCAGACTTTCAGTTTATTACAGCATTATCAATTAGAGCTGAAGAAAAGTCTATGTACATCTTGTCTTTAGACCATATCTGTGTAGGATTTAGTGGGTTTGGAAAAGTTTGTTTACATCTTACCTGTGTAGGATTTACTCGGTTTGGAACGGTCTATATGTACATCTGAACCTTGGACCTTACATGTGTGGGATATATTGGGTCTGGAACATCTGTCTATATCTTACCTTTGGACCTTACCTGTGTACAGGATTTTTTGGGTTTGGAACGTTTTGTGTACATATTACCTTTAGACCCTACCTGTATGTAGGATTTACTGGGTTTGGAACGGTTTGTGTACATCTTACCTTTAGACCTTACCTGTATATAGAAAAGTTTGTGTACATCTTACTGTTAGATCCTATCTGTGTAGGGTTTATTAGGTTTGGAAATGTCTGATTACATCTTACCTCTAGATCCTACCTGTGTAGGATTTATTGGGTTTGGAAAGGTCTGATTACATCTTACCTCTAGATCCTACCTGTGTAGGATTTACTGGGTTTGGAAAGGTTTGTGTACATCTTACCTTTGGACCTACTTGTGTAGGATTTTATGGGTTTGAAAAGGTATATGTAAACCCTACATTGGGTTTAGAAAGTTCTGTCTACATCTAACTCTAGACACTACCTGTGTAGGATTTACTGGGTTTGGAATGGTCTATGTGTATCGTACCTCCATACCCTACATGTGTAGGGTTTATCGGGTTTAGAAAGGTCTGTGTGCATCTTACCTCTAGACCCTACTTGTTTAGGATTTATTGGGTTTGAAAGGGTCTGTATGCATCTTACCTTTAGACCCTACTTGTGTAGGATTTATTGGGTTTGGAATAGTCTGTATGCATCTTACCTCTAGACCCTAATTGTGTAAAAGGTGGTCAAGCTTTAGAGGCTCAAGAAAAGTTGGCACTTATTTTTGAATCTGACTTATTTTTGGACAAAATAAAATAGAATTTTAGACACTTATTTTAGAATGGAAGAAGTACATTTTTGTTTTTTATTTTGGAGATTTTCATTCCAAAAAATACATTTATTGGTCTATAGTTTAATTGTTAAAAGAAAAAAAGAGGGACCTGATTACCGTATAATTGTTAACTATACGTGTGACTTCAAACCCGAACTTAACTAAAATAGAAATGTAGAAATTTACTCTAGAATGTAGGAATAACATCTTTTTATAATTAACCTGGATATTCAACCTGTTATACGAGCCGACTAATCCCAGGGCGACCACCTGATTTGCAAATAGCCCAGAGTCACCGTATTTGAACCTCCGTGGCCACAAGAGAATTTTTATTTCTCCTTGGATTTGAACCTCGGACCTCATGGTACTTTCGACTTTTTAGAGTCAAGTTCAAACCAATCAGACACTACCCTTGTGGTTAGGAATAACATTTTTCTACTTTCTATTTTAGGTATTTTAATTCCAGAACATCAATTTTTAGGAAAAAAAAAGAGGGATTCGATTATCATATAATTGTTAATTGTTATGTGCGACTGTGGACCTGAACTTGAACTTGATTTGCATGGTGTCCCGTTCCACAGGCGACTTCAAATGCGAGTTTGAACTTGCTTTGCTTCTCACTTGCGATATCTACTGTTGCTTACAAAATCGTGTATACCAGTTATCTTTACCAGATGTTTTTTTTTTTTTTTTCCAAGCTTAAAATCCTAAATGCAGTTCTTTTTCCAAAATTGAAATTGAAACAAAATACTTTAAAAGAGAGGTATTCAATTTATGTTGGGGCATAATATGGAGTCGCATGGTGACAATGTTTTATTTCATTAACCTCCGCATAGTTAGAACACGATGCAATAAAAGGAATAACGCATGCTCAGGTTAATTAAATAAAACATTGTCAGCAAATATCGATTGTTGCCCGGCAACCATTATTTACTGGATCTGCCCCTATCACTATTACTTGTTAAGATTACTAATTGATAAGAAGTTAAATTTATATGTCTGAAACTTACCCACATAAAACACGTACATTTAGTTTAATACAATCATTCGAGAATCAGATTTTTTTTAAGTTTGAATTTGTTCATTTGGAATATGAGTTCTTCTACTTCATTTTTATTTATTTATTTTTTTATATTATTTCTTAAGTCCACGGTTTTGATCCTTTAGAATTGGACTCATTTTCTCATTAAGCAAGAAGTACGAAATAAATCAAATTGATTAAAAGTACCATGTGAAATATTTGGTTTTTTCCTCTTCCTCTATCTCATAGGTACAGTGTTTGAATCAATCGAGGACATTTTTTTCTGTCTCAATCGATATTATTCTATTCCAATTCATTCCCAATACCTCTCAATGAAAATATCGAATTGGATCCTAAATTGACGGGTTAGTGTGAGCTTATCCATGCGGTTATGCACTCTTTTCGAATAGGAATCCATTTTCTGAAAGACCCTCGCTTTCATGCTTTGGTGGGTCTCCGAGATCCTTTCGTTAACCTATGTTATGTTGAAGGGATATCTATATAATCCGATTATACATATATATATATATATATATATATATATGTATAGAGAGAGAGAGAGTGTTGGGTTCACAGCAAAACGTTGTGAAAGTAAAAAAAAAAACAAACCTTCACGGCAAAAAACTGTGAAGTTTCAAGTGTAAAAAAATGGTCTCACGAAAACAGGTGGGTCTCACTTGATCCCAAATATATATACTATATTATAAAGCATTTGACAAAAACTCTTAAAAACCATTTTTTATGCGTAAAGTACTGTTTATTAATGCATATTACTTAAAACTCAAGATTACAAGTAGATCGTGCGTATGTACAACTTATTAAAGCTCCATATCTGAATTCGTGTAACTAACTGCAGATAAACATAATCAAATACAGGACAAACATCTCATTTTAAAATATAAAAAATCTAAAAAATCTAAAATACAATTAGGATAATTACCGAGTTCTAACAAAATAATTAATTATTATTTTTATAAAAAAATTATATTATTAAATAAAATATAAATTACTTTGTTACTGAACCTAAATTAAATTATAATAAAAAATTAAATTATAATGAAAAATTAAATTAAAAAAATACACAAAAATTAGAAATTTTAAATAGTTAATTCATTATTAATATCGATATATTTTTGTCAAAATTTTATGATATCTTCAAATTTATATTTTATTCAAAAATAAAAACATTATTGTTTTTTCGAAATCACATAATACCATACTATAACTTTAAATGAGATAAAGAATAAAATGAAATATTAAAATCAAGATGTATATCGCTGCATTGTGCAAGTACCCTTCTAGTATATATATATATATATATATATATATATATATATATAACATTAATTATAAACTGAACTTATTGGTTCAGCAGGTTGGGATTAATAGAGTTCCGAAAAGCTGAGCCAATTTGGAAAAATTAGAACGTAATCATGAAAAGTAAAACAAAAAAGCTGAATCTTAATTCACAGCAGCATAAAAGTGAAGAGAATCTAGTTGTGGCCAACAAGGAACATGCATTGCCATATTTGCTTCGCTTTATGTCTTGTGCCAATCGCATATCCTTTGCAAGATGCTATTTGCTACTTGCTTTTCACTTTCCACTCCAACACCCTTTTCCTTTTTCCCTATTTAACCACCTCACAACCCTTGTCATTTTCCTCCCATTTCTCGACTTCGAATGTCATAATCGATACGTCTTCGCTAAATCATCGAAAAACGTATCAATCAATGAGCCAAAAGGGGTTCTAAATTCTCGTATTCGGATGAAATTTGTTAGGGTTTCGAAGAACAAGAAACAAGGACGGTATGCGTATCTTCGTTGTAGTTTGGCGTCAGGGTGGAGAGCGGCGCAAGGAGGCAGGGAGTGGCGATCGACGTATCGGGTGTTTTTGTCGGTATGTTTCTTGTTATGGTAAAGAAGTGGTTCTGATTTAATGGTAGTTTAGAGGCAGGGCAACTCGATCCTTTGGCATATGTGTGGTTTTTCTTTTAACGGTTTTCTGTATGGATGAAAATATTGTGTACGGCTTTTGTATCGTGTTATTTTGTTCGTGTGATGCATCAAGCTAATAAAAGTGTTGCAAGAGACGGAAACATTAATATGTGTATGAGTTACAACACGTTCACAAATAATTGGGTCCCCAGGTTGTCTCTTTGACGAACAGGAGAACAGGAGAAGCCACTTGTGCTCGTTAAGAATCTTTTTTCACAATACTCGAGTTCTTTCCATAAATAGGCATGTTTTGTCCGTTCATATTTATCCTCAATGGACAAGTTCACATATAAAACGTGATTCATGTGGGTCCTATTCGGTTGGTCGAAGTGTATATGGCTCAAACCCATGAATATGCAACTTGAATCACATCCACAAACAACACCACTATGAAATCATGCTTTTATGGACCATTGTTTCGAACCCTCTTGGAAGATGTCAAATTTGTACTGAACCAACATCGAGATAGCTTAAGAATCAGTTATTCAGCATTTGTTCATGATTAACTGATAATAAGGTTGTCTTGGTTATACTTTGAATTAGACTGTGAACGTGTTACGATGGACTCATCTCATCTATAGCTTTCCAACAATATCCACAATAATACATCTGACCTAGTATGAGCACCATTATAATTAAGGGTTCAAGTCTTACCAAAGGTAAAGATGGTGTGTGAGTTTATTTATTCTATTTGTTGTGTGTGTGTGTGTATATATATATATATATATATATACACACACACCTAATAAATAAGTAACTTAGGTGACACGTGTCATCTTCTGGTGAGTTGGTTATCTTATTTTCCCACCTAAACACGTATCTAAACACAATTTACATTAATGATTCAATTAGACTCATTTGAACGTATCTAGACACAATTTACATTAATGATTCAATTAGACTTATTTGAACGTATCTAGACACAATTTACGTCAATGGTTCAATTATATTCATTTGATTGACACGTGTCCTCTTATTCAATCAATCCTACTAATTTAGGATGCAATTGATTATATTCTTTGATTAATTAATTCTTGTGGTAATTGATTCCATAAAAAAATGGTGTTTACTCAATAAGTGTTTAATAAACGGTCCCTTAAGGTAAAAATTATATCAATACAACTTATTTTTAGACTCAGTTATTTCAAAGAACATCACCAATAATCACCAAATTTTTAGAAAAAAAACCTTTGCATAATATCTGTATGGAACTATTTAAATTTCAGATATAAAAGTTACTACTGCATACGCATAAATTTTTAGAACTATTTGAACTTTATAAACTAAATAATCAACTCATAAACACATTCAAGCTGTAATAAATGACTTTATACTTATCATTATAAAAAAATATTGTATTATCAAAACTAAAATAAATTACATATTTATTTTCAAATCCTAAAATATCTAAATTGTAATAATTATTTGAAATTATACCAAAAATAAAAAATATTATAATATTTAATTTACAGTAACATTTTAGATTGAACAGTTGCACAAATAATATAAAAGAAGCAAAAAAAGAAATTTGCGAGATATGCTCCACAATAACGCACTTGATTTCAGTGTTCAAAATGGCACGTCATAGCGTCTGTCATGGTGCAAGACGCATAATCGCCTTTACAATAAGGCCTATAGCGTTGTGCCATATAAGTATTTTTTTTGTAAATATAAGTACTTTTTGATATATTTTATAGATGTAAGTTTTTTTTTCTTCAAAAAATGTTTAGGGACTTAATCCTTTAAAATATAAAAGTCCATTGTTTTTTTTCCAGATTTTTTTCATTGTTTTACCATATTAACCAGCTTTATAGATAATAAAAATGTATCTAACAGGTTTTACAAAGTCCAATAAATTATTTAACAGGTTTTGAAATGTCCAAGTACTTATTTATCCCAAACACTATAATCCATTGTGGTTTTTTAGACTTTTCCATTAATTTTTTTGTATTATTTTAATGATTACACAATTAATTATTTTATTAAAATATTCAAAACAACTAATGAAATAAAATGGATTAAGGATTTGGTTCGTGTGGTTTGATTTTTTTACAAAATTGGTCCCTAAATTTTATTTATTACAGATTAGGACTTAGCATACATCATTTGTAGCAAATTAGCCCCTCACTCTAATGGTCATAAAAAATATCCATTAGAATTAAGGGCAGTTCGTCGTTTTACAATTTTTACCGTTTTATTAATTTATTTCTGATTTGACTTTTTTGTCTTTTTCTAATTTTTGTAAAACCCTCTAATTTTTAAGGACCAAATAAGTAAATAACTCTAAACTATCTCTCTTCTCTTCTCTTCTCTTCTCTTCACGAGTCACGACCCAGCTCCGATGAACCCCACCATCATCATTCACCACCACCTACTCAGTTGTCTCTCCGGCGATCATCACCAGCCTCTCACCTCGTCTGTTGAACCCCCTCACGACGGGTCTGCTTTCACGGCATCAATCTCCGACACACACCCACACAGAGAGAACACACACACAACTCGATCCGATCTCCATCTCCAGCATCTCTGTTAGTGAATGTATGTGTGTTTTGTGTGTCTGCATGTGATGGGATGGTGGTGGTGGTTGTTTGAGTTTGAGTTTGACCGTCGGCGAAGGTTACGAAGGTGGTTGTCAGCGGGGGAGGTCGCACTGATGGTTGTCATCGCGGGAGGTAACCAGTGGAATATGGAGGATTGATGTTGCAACGGGAAAAAGAGAGAGAGAGA